GGGGGGGGGGGGGGGGGATGAATACTTGTTGCAGGTATCAAACACCTGGAAAAGTAAAATTTATGCCACAATGATTTTAATTAAATCTGTATATATTCTACAGCAGTGGTCCCCAACAATTTTGTGCCTACGAGCACATTTGAGAGTTTATGAGATCGTGGCAGGCACCAACCAATTAACAAAGCCAAATTTTATTTTCTCTGGACAAATAAGATATGGACACCAAATAATACAAAAAAACAACACGACATTTAATGATACAAGAAACCACGCAATCAAAAATACGTACTTTTATAAGTAAAATTATTATTACTCAAGTGGGAAGTTAGTGTGAAGATTGGCGTTGCATTTCATCGGCCAGTTTTTCAAATTTGGGAGTGTAGGATAATGTTGCTGCTCGCAAACAATCGTCAAGATGGTCGTCAGTAAGTCGAGATCTGAGCTTTGATTTTATAATGTTCATGGTTGAACGGCCTTCATTATTCAGTATAACCTCTTTCCATAACAATGCAGGCACCCAAAAAAAGCCTTGGCGGGCGCCATGGTGCCCGTGGGCACCGTGTTGGGGACCACTGGCATACAGTACTGAAATATTATATTTATTTTCCTGACAGTGTGCACTTGAGTCACAAAAGTAAAATATTTTTGCTGGTCTTGGGGCTAAGATTTAAACATTGAATCTGCTGAATATGGGATGTAGGTGTTAAACATTGAAGTATGATTTTTGATACAAAGATAATGGTAATAGATTTTCTTGCAGCAATGCAAATCGGAAGGAAGTGATCGATCATATAAAATCCAGCATTGTGAATTTGCTCTGTTCTCTCAGTGGCATTTATTGTCCTGGTCCTGAAAATGCCTCCGGAACAAATGGTAATGTTTATTCATGGGCTCACAATATTAGTCCATAAATTTGTAATTTATTTGGGATTAAATTTTGGAAAGAACACTAATGCTGTTGTGGTATTTGAGGTTTTGTGTAGTTTAATCTGGCATTCAGTGTACATGATACAAATCTGTGCTAATTATGTGTAAGTAGCAAACCACTTCTGTATCACCTGCCTAAAAAACATATAGAAACAGGTCCCAGTCCGAGAAAAGGATGTTCATAATATGTCGCCAACCTCCTGTAAAGGAGACGGCGTAATAAAGAAGTAGTAGTAGTAGTAGTAATAAAGATATGTGGGATACAAAGTTGAACAAGCAAACATGCTATGAATAGCTGAGAATGTATGCTCTTGTTACAGAACAGATGATGGATGTTGAAGAAATTATAACTGCAGGTACTAATCAGAATAATACAGAAAATTTTGTTATCCTTGGAATGAAGGATGAAGAAGACGGTTTGTTGCAATTAAAGCAATGTATAGCCAGTGACCTAATATCTTTGTTACTTTGTGTGGCTCAAGTTTCAAGTTCTAGCAGTGCAGGAATCAAGTCCTGTGCCAAGAACTGTGATGGTATCCTAGAAAATATTATCGATAGGGTAAGTTACGACGTTACTTTCAAAATATTGTGTGTTGTATTTGTTGTTGCAGAGGATGACTATAATTGAACAATATGTTCTGTGTATTTCTTACCCAGGCAATGAATAATATTTTGTCTGCGTCACTGAATTCTGCTCCAGAAGTTAAGATACCTCATAACCATAAGGACTACTTATCACTACTACTTGAAGTCCCAACGCTCAGTGCTGATATTCTGGAACCATTTCTTAACTCACATTTTGTTACCACACTATCATACAAACCACATGTAGATGTCTATACTGCAATATCAAAGCAAGATGCCTGGACATATAAACAATCTCCTGCCATTTTGACATCTATAATTAGATCGGTAAGTTAATAAAAACAAGTTAGGAAATGTATGCATAGGTTAACTGTTCTGGCATGTTTACCAGAATTTGCCATTTGTGAATGGTGCCAGTGACAGTGGAGTTATTAATTTATTTATGGTACATTCAGTAGCTCCTGTTGAATGAGACTATGATAGTGAATAATGAATTTGAAGGGATGTGGAAGGAAGTGGTCATGGCCTAATTTAAGTTACTTTCACAGCATTTGCCTGGAGGGACTGGGAAAAACCACGAAAAACCTCAGTCAGGATAGCTTGTCTCTGGGCTAAGATACATAAGAGTTGTCTGGATGGCTGTGGATTCTCCAGGTTACCTTGGTCAGGTTGATACTTGACCTGGTGGGTGGATCTTCCGGCTAAGGTTGTTCAATATCATTCTCAGCGTTCAAATTATAGTACACCTATAGCATGCATTAGCCACTTCCTTTCAAACTCTACCTCCCATCATCGGGCACATTCTCCAATTTTACAATATATAAACTGTCCAGTTTTAAAATATTCAGAAAATAAATTTAAAAATAACAGCAGTAAACATTTGCACCAGTTTCAATTGATAGTTCAGAAGCTGTTACATGGCTTGAAGGGGAACAGAAGGGCATAGGGATCTTGAATGCCCTGTTTTGCTTTCTTATATGACTAAAAATGTTGATTCGTAAGCTTAGAATACAATTTTACAGATGCTAGTTGGACTACGGGCAGAGAGCGTTGTAGTTCTTAAGAACTTTCTGCAGAAAGGAGATGTAAATTGGAAACTTGCTTTGGTCTGTGTGTCCACGTATGTTAACTGCATTCCAGAGGGTGGCAGCCATATGAAAGGCAAGTGTTTTTGTCTCTTAAACTGAAGGGGATTATAAATTAAGCGCAGAGTTTGAATTGAAGTTCTGATTTATTAATTGTTGAAGGAAAATGTGTGTAATATAAATTGAGTAAAAAATATATGAACGGAAAGGTAAATACCATATTTACTAGTTTACCCCGCGCACTTGTGTAAGTCACACGCCCCATTTTTTGAGGAAGTAAAATAATTTTTTAAAAAAATAGGTTAGTAACTATTTCTTCATATGCGTATGGTAGCATCTGTGCGATCTGAGTCTGTATTCTTATGGTTAAATTATTACAGACAAAACACCTCACCAACCACCCTTGACTTTCCATAAAATTTGCTACTTGCTTGGCCCTAGCTATTTCCAGCGCTTTCATCCAGCACATTTCCATTGATATAGCATACATTTAAATCAAGTATTTACCAAGGTACTTATTGACATTTTTAAAAATGCATGTTGGTCTGCACATAAAATGGTCATTGTTATTGTCTGATTCTAACTTTTTTTAGAATTGGTCAGAAGGTTTTAGTAAAAACTAGCTAGTATCAAATTTCTTCAAAATACATCTTGTATTTCTCAAATTGAAACTTGCAGGCAGACAGAAGAATGTACTGACACAACTTTCTCTAAATGCATTTATGTTGCCCACAGAGAAGGCAAATATGAGAATTATGATGTGTTAGGTAAGACCTGTGATGGGATTATGATACTTCACAGTTCTGAATTTGATGCTGAAAGTAAAACATGAACCATTTAGTTATTTTCTAACTTTGTTTTGTTTTATAGGGTTGGTTGACTGGCTGCTTAGCAAAGCATTCCTGAATTGTAACCGTAGTCTCCTCATTGCCTCATTTCTCATAGCAAGGCAGTGTTGTGCAGAAGATTGCGCTCCCTGGTTTCCCAATTACATGTCATGGTTTGGAACAGCGTTTGGACATGAATCATCTTGGGCCAGTCAGCAAAGTTTTGAGTTTTTTATTCAGTTCCTCACTGAGGTAGTTCCATATGAGCCACCAGCGTGTCTCAGAGTTCACATCGACAAAGTGAGATATGTACATCACTAGCTCACTAGTATCAGATATTGAAGAATCAACGCCAGTAAATAATTTTGGTAGCTGGACTTACCATATGTTTATTGTTTGACTCTTTTAAGGTTCTGTTGAGTTAGTTAGTTAGTTTGTTTGTTTCCCCCTACAATAACTAAGAGTGTTCAGATTATTTTTTTATATTTTATTACCCAATGCTTATCACTGGACACAATCCTGAACTCCTTAATCCAGTTCATTTCCTGTGCCATTATACCTAGAGAATATTTACCATCATCCAAGAAAATCAACCACACCCAATTCAATTCACTTTTCTTATCACACTATTCATTGACATTACTTTTAATTTTTTGATGATCAAATTCTACTGAAGATCTGCTAGACTGAGTTCATTCATTTGGTATGTCAATCAACATTATTCTTCTTCTATGGCTCTCCGGTCCATCTTCGGTCCACGGCCTCCTCAATTCTCCTCTTACATTCGGTCTGTTAGGTCCGTCTGTCCGAGGCTTTGATTGAAGTTTCAAAACATCTTCCTTCTCACGGTGCAAGGTTGTTAGCCTTGCGACCAACCCCCAACCTGGAGGACCAGGGTACCTGTCTTAGTCTGACCTCTCCCCCTCGACCAATCTGACTAGGGAGGCCCTACCAGTAGCTCTTGGGGTCACTGATGTACTCAAGCCCCACCACCAGGACAAGGTGCAGGTACCATTAAGTGGGGAAATCAATCAACATTCTTACTTTTGTAAAATACTGAAGTTATGTTTTAAAAGTACATTAATCTCTTCATTTTTTCCCCCTTCTCACTGTTATGAAAATTAGATATTTGTGTCTTTGTCATCCATTATCCCTTCATCATACAATTTACCACGTAAGTCATTACAGATTTTTACGCTGCTCAGATATGCACTCTGTAAAAGTGTTGTGCATTTAACACCTAGTTAATATTACCTTGTGTTCAACCTTCAGGATACCTGTGTCTGTCTGGCTTGCTGATACAAATTAATATTATTAAAATTAATCTCCTCCTTCACCTACTAAGTACACTCAATGATTGGCACGCCCTCATATTTTCAAAATTTAAGTTCAGTTACTTTATGTGCTGTTTACCTGTTTATTCCCATCTACATTAAGAAATACTTAGACTACATTAGGATGTTGTGATAAGCGTTACAGATTCATGCTGAAGTGTATGACTTTGTTATACTTCTTTGTTTTGCTTTTTGTTTTTACACAGCCTCCTGCATGTCCTCAAAGTAGCTTCTTTCTCCTGGGGGATTACGTAACATTGGCTAAGACTCGACTAAAAGATTTCAATGAAAAAATAGAATTTGGTGTCTTCGGGCCGGGATTGGTAAGTGGAACACAAAGTTAAAGTTTACTTATACTTAAGCACCGTACCATGAAATTAGATAAGGGAGTGGACATGACGCTTAATGCATTCTTAACCTTGGTACTAGATAGAAGTGAGTTTTATTCTCTGGCCACTTCTGGTGAAGGAGATCCTGGAATCCATTGGATGGGATGGTGAGTGGTCCATCTGGGAATCGTACTCCATGATGTGATTTAGCTGTCTTGGCTCTGATATTGTAAGATACACGATCCAAGTAGTAACACATACACAACAAGTGTGTTTAAACCCAGATCATTGCCTGGTAATCAGAAGAGAAATTCTGATAAGCTGCAGAAAATACATTATGTGTTAGATACTTTTTTCTTTTTGTGTTATGAATGCAGTGTTTTTTGGATTTGTCATGACATAATCAGGTTTATGGCTTCATTATCTGCCTTACGTTTTTGTCAACATGCATGTTGCTAGTTTATGGTTCTTGAAGTGTTTTCTTTATGGATGACATTTGTGAAACTTGCCGTGTTTTTTATTATTATTATTATACCATATTTGTAAGCTCAAGTTGTGTGGATTTTAGAACTGAAAATTTTATGATTTAATGCCTAGTTTTCATTTCTAAGTATGTATTGTCCTTGTAGAAACATTCTAACCTTATTAAACCTCTCAAAAAATAAGAAAATAAAAATAAATGTCTTGTGGTTTATGTATTCTTTATGGAAGAAATTCTGCATAGCCTGATCTTGGACCCAGGACAATTAATGGAGATCTAACAATTGCATACTGATGTCAGTACACCTTTTAAGCTGCCTTTCATTTATAAACATCCATAATAATTCTAATATTATGAACACTTTGATGAACTACTCTGTGCAACAGAATCTTTGTGAATGTAATAGCTAATTAGGCTAGTCAGGGAATTCCCAGTATTTTATGGAACCAAAAAATTCATTGCATTCCCAAAAGCCCATCATTGGCCATTCTCCTGAGCCATATGGATCCAGTCAACACATCTGATTTCTCTGGCTTCCCACACCTGTTGACATTTTCCAAATGGTCTCTTCCATTCAGCTTTCTCAACCAAACTTTGTACACATTTCTCAGTATAGTATAATAAATTAATTTAAAAAAGACAAATTGTGTTTATACACTTACATGAAACCCAGAACACTCAAGGCAACATAACGTAATGTAACAGATTCAACAGCAACTGTTATTGTTGCTACTAATACAGAAACTTTTAGATTGTTTTCCATTTATTTCTGAGAGTCCCATTAGTACCTAGTTGCATGTAGGTCTTCATTTATACTATCAGTCGGTATAGTGACTGGCTACGGACTGGGCGACCGGGGCTCGATCCCTGACGGGGGCAGAGGATTTTTCCTCTAGCCTCTGCATCCAGACCGGCTCTGGAGCCCACCTAGCCTCCTCTACAATGGGTACCGGGGTCCTTTTCCGGGGGTAAAGCACGGCTGGGGCGTGATGCCGACCACTCACCCCCATCTAGTGCCGAGGTCAAGAATGAGTAGGAGCTATACCTCCTCTCACCCCGTGCGTGGTCTGCCGCACCAGAGGTTTCTAGAGGCGGCATGTCAGACCCGTGTCGTACAGAGACCGGATCGTGCAGAGACCGCGTCAGGCACAGACTGGTCCAGCAAGGCATCAGGTGGTGGAAATTTTGAAAATATTCAAATTTGTCAAAAAATCAAAATAAAAAAATGAAAAATTTCACATCGAAATTTTTTCGCCTACATGGCATATAGTGGTACAGCTTTACTTTTCTTTTTACTTCATTTATACTGTAGCATAGCATCATTATATATTAAGTTTTATTAAAAATGAAAATATTTGTTTTTTCTCCTGGATTATACACTATAACTTAACCTGTCATTAATTGTATTTCTTTGGTGTTTCAGACTACAGAGCAAGACATAGAACATGCATTGACACATTTTGAAACACACAATGGGGAAATAGCACAGACAGTGCTGAGTGCATGCTTGTTCCACCGCCAGCACTTTGAACAAAACTTTCTTAGAAAACTGCTTGCCCCTCGTGTAATTCCAGACACTCCAGATATTAAAGCCAAATTCATAAATAAGTTGCACAGTATGGGCAAAATCTCTCATTCTGTGTATACGAAGTACCAAGAGACATGCAGAGCAGAAGCCAGGATATTTCAAGGTTAATTGACTGACAAGCTTATTCCATTGTACACAGGATCTTGTTATCTATTTACGTGATCAAGAATGTCCTAAGCAGTTCGGAGAATATGCTGGTAGCATAAACAGAAGAAACAAGAAATGCATGCAGTGTTATGGAAAAGACTACATGAGAGACAAAGGCATCGTTTGAGAGGACAATACAAAATGGATCTTAGAGAAATATGTTGGTGATATGAATGTGAATAAAGGGAAAGACAGGTTGTAAGGTCATCAAATATTCTGCAAGAAATTTGCATTTGAGTTGTCAGAGTAAAATACTGAAGTTCAAAGAAATTTATTGAAAGGCACTAAAGTATTCATTAAAATTGTTATACGTGATGAGGTATTGAATGAACTGTTGTGTCGGTTGTGAACAAAATCTTATTTCAGAGTTTTCATAAATTAATCTGTTTTACTTTCTGTAGCAGATTTATATTTATATATGGACAGTAATAAATGGTTCAAACAATTAAATTCACTTTGAAAATTACCCTTCTTTATGAACTTTTGCATTAAGTTGGAGTCCCGAAGCAGTCTCCCAATTACGTAACATATAACAGAGCTAACCTTAATGTATGGAACTTGACCTTTTATATCCTGTACTACAACACAGCGACTGTAACAACAATAATTCCTGGACATTGTACACAGCAAACAATGTTGCCTTTCACTGACTTCAAATCTGCTTGCCTATCAGAATAGAACTGAAATTTGTTTACTTTCCATAGATCTGCATAGACCTAAGCCAAGGATGTAGGGCGTCATAACACTTGTTTCTAACGCTAATATGTATAAATTAAATAGTTATGACAGTGATTTACAGTCAACTACAGTAATACTGCAGAAATAATCACACAGGAAGGCATCACCACTGTTGTGTACATGTATGCGAAACAGCTGAGAATTTTTGGTGAAGCAAATCCTTCTATGGTTGAGAACGAGTGAGATAGATCCTCCATAGTTTTGGCTCACACGGTCTGTGCCTCAAGTGGTCAGTGCAGAACACGGTCTCTGCCAGACACTGTCTCTCTCTTCCTCACTTCCTCACACATTCTCTGTGTCAACCGTTCTCTGCTAGACTCGGTGTCTGCAACACAGTCTCTGCAGTAACTGGTCAGGGTGAGGCAGCCCGTTAGAGATAGGTACATACAAAGGCCTGATCTTGCTGAGACAGCATAGGAGAAAGTGTACGTCGAAGACGATGTCAGGCAGAGATCATTTATGAAAGGGATCGGTTGGGGAGAATTTTGAAAAACTTCAAAATTTTCAAAATTTCAAAAAAATTAAAAATGCTGGTAATTGTCCTAAAAGTGCTCAAAACTGAAAATTTTTAAAAATTTTAATTTCAAAACTTTTCGAAAATTTTTGGTTCTGTGCGCCTTTCAGACAGTCTCCAGCATTTTTTGATTTTTCGATAATTTTCAAAAATTTGAATTTTTTTTTCAAATTATCACATCTGATCCATACCAGAATCGGTCTCAGTCTAACACGGTCTCAACGAGACACGCTCTCTGGCTCACACGGTCTGTGTCTCGAGCGGTCTGTGCAGAACACCCTCTCTGCCAGACACCGTCTCTCTCTTGCACATTCTCTGCGTCAATCCTTCTCTGCTGGCGTCGGTGACTGCAACACGGTCTTTGCAATATCCAGTCGGGGTGAGGCGGCTAGTTAGACATTGTTGCATACTGAGGCTTCATCTTCCTAAGACAGCGTAGGAGAAAGTGTACGTCTAAGACGATGTCAGGCGGAGACCGTTTCTGAAAGGAATCGGATGGGGAGAATATTGAAAAACTTCAAAATTTCCAAAAAATCGAAAAATGCTGGAAATTGTCCAAAATGCGCACAAAACTCAAATTTTTTAAAAAATATTAACTTGAAAATTCTTTTCAAAATTGTCGAGAATTTTTCGTTTTATGCGCCTATCATACAGTTTCCATCATTTTTTGATTTTTCGATAATTTTCAAAATTTTGAATTTTTTTGAAAATTCTCCCAATCTCAACCGTACCAGCTCCGGTCTCTGTCTGACGCGGTCTAAACCAGACTCACTCAATGTTCCTCAAGGTGTGCGAACACGGTCTCTCAGACGGTCTGTCACATATTCTCTGCATCAACCGTTCCCTGCCGCACTTGGTCTATGCAATACACGGTCTCTGCAATAACCGATCGGCGCGAGACGAAACGTCCAAGATAGTCACATGCAGACGATTGATCTTGCGTAGACAGCGTAGGAGAGAGTGTACGTCAAAAACGTTGTCCGGCGGAGATCGTTTCCGAGAGGGTACATTTGGGGGAATTTTGAAAAAATTTCAAATTTTTCAAAATTTCCAAAAAATAGAAAATGCTGGAAAATGCCCAAAACGCGCACAAAACTGAAAACAATTTCTAAATTTTCCAAAATTCTTTGTTTTGTGCGCCTTTCAGGCAGTTTCCAGCATTTCTTGTTTTTTCGATAATTTTCAAAACTTTGAATTTTTTGGAAAATTCTTCCAGTCTCATCCGTACCACATTCGGTATCTGTCAAACGCGGTCTAAACCAGACACTCTCTCTAGCTCACTCAATGTTCCTCAAGCTGTCTGTGCCGAACACTTGTCTATGAGACGGTCTCTGTAACACATTCTCTGCGTCGACCTTTCGTTGCCAGACTTGGTTTCTGCAACACACAGTCTCCGTAGTAACAGGTCGGCGCGAGACGGAACGTTCAAGATGGTCACATGCAGACAATTGATCTTGCTCGGTGTCTGTACCAACCGGCCTCTGCAGGAATCGGTATCTGCCTTACATGTTGTCTGACGCAAGAGAGCTTTTTAGAGCAGGCACGTCAGATCCGTGTCATACAGAGATCGGTCCGTTCAGAGACCGTGTCAGGCACACACCGCATTCGTCTGAGACACAGTACATCAGAAACAGTCCGAGAGAGACCGGTCCTGCAAGGCATCAGGTGGTGGAAATTTTGAAAAATTTCAAAATTTTCAAAAATCCAAAAATGATGCAAATTGTCCAAAAAGCTCAAAAAACCAAATATTTGAAAAATTTCACATTCAAAATTGTCTTCAAAATTTTCAATTTTTTTTGTTTTGTGCGCTTTTCAGACAATTTCAAGCATTGTTTGATTTTTCAAATTTTTTTAGACATTTGAATATTTTTTTCTAAACTCTCCCCATGAGATGCCTGTCAAAATCGGTGAATGGCTAACACTTTCTCGGCTTCTATCTCGCCCGGTTCCTGCCTGACTCGGTGTCTGCACCAATCGGCCTCTGCAGGACTCTGGTCTCTGCCTTACGTGTTGCCTGCCGCACCAGAGCTTTTTAGACGCGGCAAGTCAGAGCCGTGTCATACACAGACCGGTCCGTGCAGAGACCGAATCAGGCACAGACCGCATTCGTCAGAGACACACGGTACATCAGAAACAGTCCGACACAGACAGGTCCTACAAGACATCAGGTGGTAGAAATTTTAAAAATTTCTACATTTTCAAAAAATGCTGTAAATTGTCCTAAAAGCGCACAAATCCAAAAATATTACAAAAATTTCACATTCTAAATTTATTGATTTTGTGCGCCTTTCAGACAATTTCCAGCATTTTTTGATTTCTCGAAAATTTTATAAAATTTGAATTTTTCTAAACTCTCCCAAGAGATGCCTGCAAAACTCGGTGAATGACTAAACCTGTCTCTGCCGGACTCGGCCTCTATCTCGCCCGGTTCCTGCCTGCCTCCTTGTCTGCACCAACCCCCCTGCACGACTCGGTCACTGCTTTTGTGTTGTCTGCAGCACCAGAGCTTTTTAGAGGCGACACGTTAGAGCCGTGTCATACGGAGACCGAGTCAGGTACAGACTGCAAAATCAAAAAATGCTGGGAATTGTCTGAAAAGCGCAAAAAATAAAAAAAATTGAAAAATTTGAAAAAAAATTGAATGTCAAATTTTTCAAAAATATTTAGGTTTTGTGCGCTTTTTGGACAATTTCCAGCATTTTTTGACAATTTAGAAATTTTTCAAAATTCCACCACCTGATGCAATGCAGAACCGGTGTCTCTCGGACTGTATCTGACATACTGTGTCTCTGACGAATGCGGTGTGTGCCTGACTCGAGCTCTGCAAGGACCGGTCTCTGTATGACAGGGCTCTGACGTACCGTCTCTGAGAAGCCCAGGTGCGGCAGGCAACAGCTGGGGCAGACAAGCCAAAAAATCGAAAAATGCTGGAAATTGTCCAAAATGCGCACAAAACTCAAATTTTTTAAAAAATATTAACTTGAAAATTCTTTTCAAAATTGTCGAGAATTTTTCGTTTTATGCGCCTATCATACAGTTTCCATCATTTTTTGATTTTTCGATAATTTTCAAAATTTTGAATTTTTTTGAAAATTCTCCCAATCTCAACCGTACCAGCTCCGGTCTCTGTCTGACGCGGTCTAAACCAGACTCACTCAATGTTCCTCAAGGTGTGCGAACACGGTCTCTCAGACGGTCTGTCACATATTCTCTGCATCAACCGTTCCCTGCCGCACTTGGTCTATGCAATACACGGTCTCTGCAATAACCGATCGGCGCGAGACGAAACGTCCAAGATAGTCACATGCAGACGATTGATCTTGCGTAGACAGCGTAGGAGAGAGTGTACGTCAAAAACGTTGTCCGGCGGAGATCGTTTCCGAGAGGGTACATTTGGGGGAATTTTGAAAAAATTTCAAATTTTTCAAAATTTCCAAAAAATAGAAAATGCTGGAAAATGCCCAAAACGCGCACAAAACTGAAAACAATTTCTAAATTTTCCAAAATTCTTTGTTTTGTGCGCCTTTCAGGCAGTTTCCAGCATTTCTTGTTTTTTCGATAATTTTCAAAACTTTGAATTTTTTGGAAAATTCTTCCAGTCTCATCCGTACCACATTCGGTATCTGTCAAACGCGGTCTAAACCAGACACTCTCTCTAGCTCACTCAATGTTCCTCAAGCTGTCTGTGCCGAACACTTGTCTATGAGACGGTCTCTGTAACACATTCTCTGCGTCGACCTTTCGTTGCCAGACTTGGTTTCTGCAACACACAGTCTCCGTAGTAACAGGTCGGCGCGAGACGGAACGTTCAAGATGGTCACATGCAGACAATTGATCTTGCTCGGTGTCTGTACCAACCGGCCTCTGCAGGAATCGGTATCTGCCTTACATGTTGTCTGACGCAAGAGAGCTTTTTAGAGCAGGCACGTCAGATCCGTGTCATACAGAGATCGGTCCGTTCAGAGACCGTGTCAGGCACACACCGCATTCGTCTGAGACACAGTACATCAGAAACAGTCCGAGAGAGACCGGTCCTGCAAGGCATCAGGTGGTGGAAATTTTGAAAAATTTCAAAATTTTCAAAAATCCAAAAATGATGCAAATTGTCCAAAAAGCTCAAAAAACCAAATATTTGAAAAATTTCACATTCAAAATTGTCTTCAAAATTTTCAATTTTTTTTGTTTTGTGCGCTTTTCAGACA